TAAAAAAAAAAAAAAAAAAAAAAAAAAAAAAAAAACAATAATATATATGTGGGTAGGTGTAAAATGATGTGTATTGTGTTGGGAGACAAAAAAGAGAAAATGTTTTTTTTTTTTCTTGGAGAAATTCTCTTTTCTATCAGATTTCATTGCAGAGTCGTTAAAATGAAAAATTTATTAATAAAGGTCAGAAACGTATATACAGATATACGCCTGTTTATGTATATGTTTGGGTGTAGGAGAGTGTGTGTGTGTGTGCGTGTGTGTGTCCTCCTTGTGTACATATGTTTCTTTTGAACATTTGAAAAACAATCCAAAGGGACACTGCATCACCCGAACTATTGACTATGACTAATACAAATGAATGAAATTGAAATTATCTTTACCTTGGGATCTTACTAAGCGGAGAAGAAAGTATGGATCATTAAAACCGAAAATGAATTCAAAATTAATCAAAACCTTTCGAAATCAAGTGAAAAGAAAACAAACAACAAAGTCTGCCGATTTCATCTTGATGCGAATTTTGCTTTATATGCCAGTCAGTTGACCGATCGAAAATATTCTTATATTTTGGATAAATTGTAAATCGATATATGCTTAATAAAGTTTTAAAGTAAAAAACGCTTATGTCAGATTAGCGTTTTCTCTGTGAATTTTGAATTTATTTGAAAATTGCACCCAAGAACGTGGATTGACGAAAGACAGACAAACATATATTTAGCCTACGATAACATAACATTGTATGATAACTTTGTTGCTTATTTCGGAGTATTTTGAATACAATAAGAGAAACAGTGAAAACTTTTGTCAGGCGATATCTCGCATACCCTAAATGCTTTACATCACTTCACCTATAGATAATTCTTTCTCTTTGCCATGAAATATTAAAACTTATGCTTTAATGATATATAAATTAAAAACGACTTCTTATGCGAACCTTTCTATGGAAAGGTGTGTGAAAATTGGACCTATATAATCTAAACTTTTCCCAGCGAGCTTGTTCCTGCCATATAAACGGAAATTTTCCTATAAAAAGTTTTAAGCAGATTCATCCCAAGCACATTTATTTGCTTAGTACGACGAAATATTATTTTTTACCGACTTTTTTTTCATTTAATAATTCTTTTTAAATAAGTTATTATAGATGGAGTGGCTGTACGCATAGTGCGATCCGATGCATTTTTAATAAAGCTCGCTTTTGGATTGAAACAATAGTACATTGATTCAACACAAAAAAGCATGAGCAGACATTGAGCGGACTGACGGACAGACATGCTTAAATTAACTTGAAAAAACGATTCTGATTGCTAATGCTATTATAAAAGTTAGGCCTATCTCAAGTCCTTCTAGGTGTTGGACACGAATTTCATATGTCTTTACCTCGACTGACTACTACACCCTAATTTTTCTCAAAAGCGATGAAAAAACCTTAAATTGACAATTATTTCCGCACCATTAAAAGAAATCTTTGCATAATCAGGTCCCTCGAGCATATATAAAATTGTGAAACGATCGATCTTTAACAGTCAGTACTATAAAGGATAAAGTTTGTCTTCTGGTACCGGTTTCTTATTCTAATCCACAAAGTTTTTAACTCTAATCTGTGGTTTTAAGCTAAGAAACAATCTGGATATGTTTCTATCTCAATCGTTGGAACGTTTAGAACATAAATAGGAGCCTACGAAGGAGCAAACTGAACAAACTAAAGTGTGACATGAGTCTTTGAATCGCTTTCATAGATTTCTAAAATGATTGCCGATGAATTTGAAAATGATTATAAAAAGATATATATTCGTCGTAAAATAGATAAAACGAACTAATCTATATAATCTGTCTCGTTATCGTGTAAAGAAAATTAACTGATTGCCGTCATGAAGTGCATTTTTTTATTATCATGTCAAAAAAAAAAGTGTTGCTGTGCCTAAATAAAAAAAACAAATTAAATCAAGTGTTAAAAGAGCTTTTATTGTTTGGTGTCACGCGGAAAATTTGCTGTCATTTTTTTTATCATTTCTCCGGTCAGGACACTCATATATAGATTTTATGGCTCATATGATGAGATGAAATCAAAATTTAATTTTTTTTTTTCTAGATTTTATTAAAATTAAAAAATAAACATTAGAAAAGAAGCAAAATGATTTTTACGTGCGAGAAATATAAACGATTGCGGATTCACTGAGGATTCTCTTCATTATTCTTTATCATCCGATTCATCTTTACAGGTAATTTTCACATTTCCTTTCAGTATTATTTTTTTCCTTTATTGAAGAAAAAGTTTGTCCGTCCCATATTAATGCTATGAGTCATTCAAAATAATCTACACGTATACGAATGGAGGAAGAATACATTTGTTTGTTGTTTTTGCTTTTCAATTATTTTTTCTCTGTATGGATTTCATATGCGCAAAGAAAATTTCTTTTTTATCAGTTGTTCGTTTTTTTTCTTTATTACTGCAGTTGTCGATTGAAACTCATTTTATGTCGTATGTAAGATGTGTAGATATTCGTTATAACGCATAGAAATATGCGTCGGTCGATCCTATAACGTTGTATGGAATGAAGGAAGGAATGCTACACTGGAGAAGAAGACTTTCTCCAACAATATTATAACGCTATCGCTTGAAGACATCATTCTGCCGAAGCTACGAAGAAGAGCAATTACACGGTGTTAGATAAAGAGTGCATCACGTGTGCATTCCAATTTTTAACGATGTACTAAAGATGAATCATTCTGTCAATATCTGTCCATCGACAAATTCGAATCATATTTTTCGAATAAAAATCCAACTGCAGGCAGCTTAGATCCGAATATGTGCATATTCTTGCATCGTCCCGACACTAGCTCATAGTTAACTATGATCTTCATGGTTAAGGTATACAATGGTCCGATCACACTTGCGCTTATTGTAAACATACATCGCAGACTTATCTACCGCCACTAGGAATTTGCTCTAGAAGACGTATCAATCATAGTTTGAATATAAACGACGCATAAAGAACGACGAAAGATACAGTTGTCGTTACTATCCGTCTAGAATTAACTTTAATGTTGTCAGTCTGGGGTAAACTTTAAATCCAAGACTTGTCTCTACCCTTGACTTACCAATGTAACAACTGCCCAGGAGTCTTAAACCTGGTAGGTGTTATTACAATACCTTTAGTTTTGCCTTAAGTTACCCATACCAGAGTATTGTGCAATTTGATTAAGTTAAGGTTAACCCGATTGACCATATCATGTGCAAGTCGACGAGAAAGAGGGTAGCAGATCATCTGTCTATAAATGAATTTTTGCAGTTTAGATAACAAGAAACCATATCGGTTATAGGAAGAGTAGATAAAATTTGCCTCAGAATGGAAATTTGCCAAACACCAGAACATCAACTGCCTACCTAAACACACGGACAGCGATTAATTAGGTAAGAGTTAGTAAGCCTTTATCGGCTTAAAATTTGGCAACATCCTTGAAAGTTTTTACTTACTCAAGTTGGTATCGCATGGTATGGACTAAATTGGTTAAAGGGCACATCGACAGTACAACTTGAACTGAGGAGAACTTTTCGTACTTCACGTACATTCTATAGATAATCTTACAGTGCCAATGCAAATGTCGAATAACTCAGCTACGCGCAGCCAACATAATAGACTATCGAATTTCGCTTATCCCGAGTTTCGTTTTCAGATAAGGCTATAATAAGGTTTTGCTAATATGGGTTGAGTTTAGTAATTTATGCGGTACGAGCAATATGTAAATATCGTGAAAAGATGTTGGAAATAAAAGAAATTATTGTCTTTGAGTGAGAAATATATACAAGAACAAGTGTAAAAATTGTTTTCGAATTTATTGTACTCACACCATTTTTATCTTTGGAATAAAGCCGAAAAAAAGTAAATCTCAATACTCCCGATTTCTTCCATTTTTCACATTCATAGAATATATCTGAGAGTTTTTATCGTTATATCAATCGTCAATAATGCAAAGAATAAAAAACTTCTAAAGCAAATGAGTTCTCGTCCTTGTAATTTTGCAGACGTGTCTAGCACTAATAGTAAACTCTGTGCAAGAGCTTCGAAGGTTGTTAGCAATTTTGAGGCCAGACGGACAGACAAAGATAGCTATATCTCTTCAGAATTTGATAGTGGCCAAAACTATAGCGGCTCTGAAGTATCTCTCCAACTATTGGCAAAATGAATACGCGTTTCTCTCTGAAAGCTGAGTACAATAGAGACGTGCTGCCTCGATAAATATATAGATACTATATAAATTGAAACGTCTGCCCCAATATCAATCGATTATTAGATTATTTATCATAGGCTAGATAATGGATGAATCTTTAATGATTTGCGACTTGTACTCGATCCGAAGTTTCATTTGCAATTTTTTCCTAAGTTAAATAAGTCAAAACACTTTTTTAGGTTTAGGCTGTTGTCAAGCGTTAATAAGACCTCTACGTGAGTACGCAGTGATTGTTTGGTCCCCAAACCACACACGCTCTATACGTTTGTCACTTCGTATCTATTCAGAAATCTTTTTTCAGCATTGCATTACAAGAGTTGGTCTGACATCCCGAACGGATCTTACTTACCTCTTTATGATAGTCCGCTAAGTGTTACAAGCTTGCCATCTCTTTTGAAAGGACGGACTTGATTGGTTATGTCATTTATGATAAAATTCTTGAAAGGCGAAGTGACAGACATTCGGTTCGATTAAGTTTCCTCGTTGTCGAAACGATTACGAATTGTTTCGGCCTCAAACACTAATAGATACTATAATTCGGACGATGATTCCTCTTCGTTCGTAAATCATGTAAAGGGTAAAGCGAAGCTGCGTTGTTCTGGGTTAGCTGTCGTACTTAATTTGAAGTTGTCAATTAAGCGGATAAGGATAAGGATAAATGACTCGTATTAACCTCTTATATTACTTGCACCTTTCGTAGATATCATGAAATTTGGTTTGCTATATATTTAGGGTTGTCTTTGGCCTTTAATAGCTTAGCATATACAGTCCAACCAGTTTTTGTGCGGTAGATAGGGACCGCAGAAAAAGGATCGCACAAAAAAAAATATTCAAAAACTTCTTAAATAGCTATAAAAAATAATTTTTCACAGCATATTAAAGAATATTTTTTTTATGCGGTAGAGAGGGACCGCATAAAAAAAGTCTCACTTAGAAAATATGTCAAAACTTCACGAAATAGCAAGAAAGTGCTTTCCAAACAAAATAAATAATTAAATTACACATTGAAACATTTAAAAAAATTTTAATTTCTAATTTTAAACAAGGAGAAATTTTCAAAATGTACATAATTCAATACTACTCGTCGTAGTTCAAAACGCGCAAATTTTTTTCCGATGAACTGGTTCGTAATCGCTTTCGTCACTTGAAGATACTACAGTTGATTTATTTTTTGTTAACATGTAGGCGGTGATAAGTTTTTGCGACGACGGTCGTTTGGTCAGCTGTTTGTAAACGTCGCGATAGCCAGATATACACAATCGAAGCTCTTTTTGGAATTTCAAACTTCTTTGAGAATTGTTATCTACTTTAAGAAAATGCTTTTCCAATTTGCTGCAAAGCTTTATCCCTGCATATATTTTATCCGCTGTAATAGATTCCGGTTCCTCTTGTCCGTCTTCATGATCTGTTAAGTTATTGATAATGTCACTATCATTAACGGTTTCGTCCTCAATCATTTCAATAAGATCATTTTCGCTGAAAGAGTCAAAACCTTCTCCGCAGATTTGATGTGCTAGTGCAATGATATCTGATGATACAGTGGACGTGTTGTCGGTTACATTTCTATTAATGACACATTCAGGCCAGACCGCTTTCCAGTACGAATTTAAAGTGTGTTGTTTTATTTGAGTAATTGCTGCAGTGGCGTGGTTTATGCAGTCTAAAATCGAAAACTTTTTCCATACTTCAGTCAGGCTTATTCCATCGTTTTCTAGTTTTTCCAAAATGTATCTGAAAGTTATTTTCACATAGTGTTTCTTAAAAGTTGCGAGTATGCCCTGGTCCAATGGTTGTATAAGGCTAGTCGTATTGGGTGGTAAAAACACTACTTGTACATTAGGATGCTCTAAACAAGGATGACCGGGTGCATTGTGAACAATTAACAACACTTTAAAAGTATTCATATACCGCACAAAAAAGAATCGCACAAAAACAAAGCGGATTAAAAAAGACCGCACAAAAACCGGTTGTAGTTGTAGACAATAGCCACTTAGTTCATAATTCCCAATTTCGCAGCTGAGTAATGAATAAGCAAATAAATAAACAGACTTTATTCCATTAACATAGGCGACGAAATTAGTTTTAATCTCTGCAGATTCAATAGGTGCCATCTTTGCAAAGTCTCAGCTAAATTCAACTAGAGAAAAGATATTGCCAAAGGCTCCACGTGAATTTAGAGAAAAAATCTTGGTGAGATAAGCTTTAGTGTCCCTAACCACTTTTCTAGGTACTTTATCTTGATTAAGCCTAGTCAATGTAAATACAATTATCAGCTGTTTAACACTCTCAGAGTTGTTTGCAGAAACCTAAATGATGTTTATGACTTATTCTCATTACCCGACCCTTTAAAGTCTATTAAAGCAACTTTGCTTAATATGCGCGATTTACCTATGTCGTACTTAAACTAACATTTCATCCCTTAATATCTCGTTTTTTATTTAATATAATATTATGCTGGTTGCCAAGCTTATGCTTGTTTGCAATGGTTCAGGGATTCACTTGCAACCTGGATCTCTTCTTGTTGCGGATGTGCTTCTGTGCTAGCTGTATACAAGCTTTTTTTTTTCTTTCTTTTTTCTCTCTCTCTCTCTTTTAATTTTTTAATTTTCTTTAGTTGAATTTCATGTATAAATTGGTAAAATAAAATTAAAATAAAATGTTAAACTATAATTACAGACAAAGATCAAAAATTAAACAGGTATGCGATGTACAGATTTACTTTTCATAATAATACTGGTTAACCCATTGACCGATGCGGTTTAAATTTTTCACATCAATTTAGCGTTTTGAAATGCCACTTACTGTCCATAGATTTTTTTCAAGAAATTTCGAAAATTCCAGATTATCTTCTCGTAAAGGCATTCAATATAAAGGCTTATATCCAGACCACTACCACTACCAATGGAGTGGTCTGGAAAATGGTCCGATTTAATCCATTTTCAATAGTTTCCGTCGCTGGGCCATTATATATCAGTGTACCAAAATTTTCAAAATATCTTAACGCAAAAATACATAGGAAGGCATAAAACGGACAGGCATCGATTCAGAATAGGCTCCGAAAAGATTCCGAATCGATTCAGAAATGATTTCGAATCCATTGCTTTAGTAGGAGGCAGTCTGTCTCTTAGTATTTTCATGCATTCCCTTAAACCTAACATAATCTATGTCGCAAACGGTATGCATAAATATGTGTGGCCTTATCTACTATGACGCATATTTATTTCGAAGAAAACTACAAAATAAGTTTTTAAATGCATTCAATTTTTTATGGGCAATCAATGCTATAAAAGCATATATTATGCAGTCAGATCCATGATGTTTCCCTTTTTTTAGTCGGGTCTTTAAAGATATTGAAACAAATATTCTCTATATTATCTACTCTTTCTTTCTTTACAGTTTTGATTAATTATTTCTAGGACCTCTCGCCGCCAAGATGTCGTCGGTTAAAGTGGCGGTGCGAGTGCGTCCGTTTAATTCACGGGAAGTTGGCCGTGAATCGAAATGCATTATAGAAATGTTCGATGGCACCACAACTGGTAATGATATTCTAAAATTATTTCAATCAATTTAAAATGTCTGACTATATATTTTCTTATCCATCTTAAGCCATTACGAATCCCAAAGTACCATCCAATTCCAGCGAAGCAATTAAGCGTTTTAATTTTGATTATTCTTATTGGTCACATGATGTAAGTAACTCGTACTGTTATCATCATTTTTAATTTGCATTATGAACGAGCTTTTTTTGTACGAATGTATGTATAGCCGAAGGATCCCGATTTTTCTACGCAAGCAATGGTCTATCGAGATATTGGCGAGGAAATGTTACAGCATTCCTTCGATGGGTACAATGTATGCATATTTGCTTATGGTCAAACTGGTGCTGGCAAATCATACACCATGATGGGTAAGCAGGAGGAACATCAAGAGGGCATTATACCTATGATTTGCAAAGATCTCTTTTGTCGTATACGTGAAACCGAGTCCGATGAATTAAAATATTCGGTAAACATTGAAATATTTTTTTATTCACTTGGGTAGATTCGCATTAATAATTGAATTGCAGGTCGAAGTTTCGTATATGGAAATTTATTGCGAACGTGTACGCGATTTATTGAATCCCAAAAATAAAGGTAATTTGCGAGTACGCGAACATCCTTTGCTGGGACCTTATGTAGAAGATCTTTCCAAGCTGGCAGTAACCAGTTATCAAGACATACATGATTTGATTGATGAAGGGAATAAAGCACGTACGGTGGCTGCCACCAATATGAATGAGACCAGTTCACGTTCGCATGCTGTTTTTACGATATTCTTTACACAACGCCGTCATGATCCGATGACCGATTTGACAACGGAAAAAGTATCTAAAATTAGTTTAGTAGATTTAGCCGGTTCAGAAAGGGCTGACTCTACCGGCGCCAAAGGTACACGTCTCAAAGAAGGCGCTAATATTAATAAATCTTTGACTACGCTTGGGAAAGTAATTTCCGCCTTAGCCGAAATTGTAAGTACAAGACGATACGTTTGCGTATTGAAAATTTTTTCATTTCCTCTCCTTTTAATTTTTCCTCGACTTTTTCACGTTTTCAGTTAACGTACTTTATATATATATATATATATATATATATTTATCCACTCACTTTTTACAATTTCTCTGTACGAAAAGCAAAAATTTGGTTTAATAACTTTATGAACTCACTCTTTTTTCTCGCTTTTTAAAACAATCACTAAATAACTTGAAAACCGAATTTTTTAACAGTCCGTAAGTATTCTGCAGAAAAAAATTCTTTTAATTTTTGTATCAAGAATATATTGAAAATTTCTAAATTATTTTGGAAATTAATTCCGAATGTTAATGCTTAAGCAAATAGGATTTTTTACCATAAGCATACTTTGCGGGTACCATGTTGGGCCGTCTTGCTGATGAAAATCTCCTTATGTCAGAGAAGAAAGATTATGCCTGGAGCTCTTACAACGTCATAGCGCGTGCCATTAGCTGTTTCGGCACTGTCTCGTTCATTAAAAGAAAAGTACGGCACAATGACGAAGCTGTCATGACAATTCGTCGTTAGAATAGCATTCGTCTTAGTAGCGAGGCCATAGAATCGAAACGATCTTTATAATAAAAAATCGTTGTTCTCTTCGATGTGCTCAAGAGTCCGAGTATTCAAGTATCGATTTGCAAGACGAAACTGTAGCTACAATTGTAGTCCAGTGCATTATGAAAAAGAAAAGTTTTTTCAAAATATACTTCAAAACCACAGATCATCCTCAATATAGTCGCCTGCAACTCTAATCATCTCTTTTGTTCTTTTTTTTGCCCTTAATATTTTAGGAAAACTATGAAATGATTTTTTTTTTTTTTTATAAAATGTTCAAGTATTTGTTAATTTTTGATAGAACTTGAAGCAGAACATAAGACAAGTATGAAAACCATCTATAAGCTCAAAAGCGGCGAAAGCCGTCGCTATAATTGATTTCAATTCGTTGATTTTCATTTCAATGTTATTCCAACGGCTTACCCTGCGTAGAGGGGATAGGAGATTTATAGAAATTTTTTTTTTTTTTTTTTGTAATTTTCTCCAAACCACTTTATTGCAAAGATTAATCGGCAAGCTACACGTTCTCTTTGGAGATTGGTTATACAATCACAGAATTCTTCTTTAGTTTCCATTTTTAAATCATTGATTGCATTAAACATCTCTTACAAATTCAATTTTTGACAAATAAGTATCAAATAATTGCCAAAAATAATTGATAGGCTTCCAAAAATAAGAAATCGAAAAAAGCAGATTTTATACCATATCGGGATTCGGTGCTTACTTGGTTATTACGCGAAAATCTAGGCGGAAATTCTAAAACTGCTATGATAGCTGCCATATCGCCAGCAGATATTAATTACGATGAAACTTTAAGCACTTTAAGGTACTAAGCATTTATTTTTATTCTCTCATTTTATTTTTGAATCAAACATTTTCTTTGTTTTTTTTTTTTTTGTTTAAATTCATATCCGAAGATATGCGGATCGGGCTAAACAAATTGTCTGCAAAGCTGTGGTTAATGAAGATGCTAATGCGAAACTTATCCGCGAACTTAAAGAAGAAATTCAGAAATTGCGTGATCTCTTAAAAGCTGAAGGCATTGAAGTCCAAGAAGGTAATTTACTCATAAATATGTTAAGCGAAATAACGAGGATGAATTATTGTAAAACGACAAAGAATAACAAAAGCATTTCCTTGAATCCTTTTTGATAATAGTTAGAGTTAGTAAATTAATTGAATTACTTTATATATATATATATGAATTAGAATCGCTTATTTACAAAAACAAAGCATACTTTTTACACTGTATCAATTCTATCCTTTAATTTCAATTCATTATTACTATCATTATCAATAATTATTTAGGGCCCGATGGCAAAGTGGTTTGTGAGAAGCGCGACACAAATAGTAAGTAAAGCTCTAACCACTCATTCATTCTTTATTACTGTGTGTTCGTCTCTGGCATACGCTGAATACAAAAGCAAACACATAGATATGTATGTAATGATAACTAAACACTCTATGCTTTGCTGGCTATTATTATATCCTATGTTCCTTTTTAATTTTTTCTATATATAAAATTATTTTTGGTTCTTTTTTTTTTTTTCTTTTTCAAGAATTATATACCAAATTAGTTATGCTGTATGTTTATCTCGGTGTTGATTTCGACTAGGAAATGTACTTATTATTATTAGGTTGTCTAAAAAATATGAAACCCTGAAGAAATCAATTATTCAAATGAACATAAATAACATAATAATTTAGGTGTTTGCAAAAATTTTGATCACTTTTTCACTTGGAGAAGGAATTTATTGTGGAAAATGTGTTTTAATTAATAATATAGTTTCCATCATTTTCTACAAGATTTTACAAATTTTATGGCGACATGGCGATATCATGTTGAAAGAACTTATATTGTTTTGGCAGCGATCCACCCACCGGCCCTATTTCGCACTTCTTCAATTTTGCAGATCCGCTTACAAGCCACGCCATGCTGCACCGATGTGAACAATTAGTAATCAGGAGGCGCCATGCCTGGTGAGTACCTTTGGTGTGAAAAAATTTCCCATTCGAGTTGCAACAATGTATCCTGGACAACTATTGCAACAGCTAGACAGAAAATGGCGTTTTCCGTCAATTCGTGTCACCACTCTTAACGATGTGGTGCAACATCGGCACAAACCTCTGAACGTTTTTAGAGGGCAAGATTTCTTTAAATAAGCAACAGAGGTAATGAATTTGAAAGAAGAAGAATTTCGAATGCGCCCTGATTAGAGTCGGCCTCCGCCGAATAAATCAATGATAATAAATGGAAAAGTGTGATTTTATGTAGAGGAAGGAAGAGGAACCATCGAATTCAACCATTATGTATACTGGTGTTTCCCATTTCTTCATAATTTTCACCTCTAGAAGTCGCTGATCAAAATTTTTGCAAATACCTAATAAGAAAAATAGTAATAAAACTGTAACTAAATACATGTCTGCGTTCTTTGGGTTGAATATATTTTAATCTACTTAGTATTTATATGAGGAGGAAAAACTCTTTCGCCCACTTTTACAAATAAAAATGTAAATTTTTTATTCACTCATTTTGTTAGCATATTATCTAATGGAACTTGAAATCTACTCAGAATATTTATTATTTCATACCTATATCTACACAAGATACGTTGTGTAAGTACGTAGTGTACGCTTTCTTATATATATATCATATTGCTTTGCAGAATAAACTAATGGTTTGACTTCTTTCTATCTCCACACGGGTAAACTAAAGTAGGTCAAGGCGAAAAAGGAATATTAACAGCAAAAAGAACATTACAGGTAGACAAGGGCAAGCTACCCCCGCTTCGCCTAATATACCTGCTTGGCTTCCTCTTTTTTTGAGTAAAGGTCAACAAATAGATCTATGTGGTCCAAATTTAGTAACATATCTTATTACTTCAACTTAATAATTTGATCACATTTTATCAGAGTAAATGCTGTCAGAAGTGCTTCAATAGATGGCCCCATCCCATCGAAATTTTCCGCATACAATTAGTTTACTAAAAGACATTATTTTTTATCGATTTGGGTGAAGAATTATTTAACTTGAAAAAGTTTTTTTTGTATTTTGTTTTCTGCGGATGTATGTAATAAGCAGAACGCATTTATTCTTTTTTTTACTATTCACTACAATACTTGCTTTTTCATATCAATCGGGTTTGATTCATTTTCGGAATTAGCAACCATGTCTGTCGAAGTTTTTGCTTGATATTTACCCATGTAACTATATACTAAAGCTAAAAGATAAATTTTCGAGATGTTTTAGTGAAATTTGAAACGCTTGACATATATTGAACCAAGCACGAGCGCTAGTGGAGCGTAACTGGGACGCATAATTTTTATCGCCTTTGGAAAAAGTTGCAATAAATTTCATCAATATGTCAAGAAAATTGCAATTTGTAAGTTGACCACAAAAATACAAAATACATACATACATACATAGAGATTTGAAACGGATAGACCGTCAAACATTTTTAATTCGACTTACGCAACGATCTTGGGTATAATAAGAGATGAGTTAAGTCGTTCTGACTTCTGTTCACACATGCTCAAACGTTTAATCTGCTCTTTTTACAAATGGTGGACGGTATAGTAAATTACTGAGATTTTGCTTTTTATTGAGATTGCTTAGAATATTCGATAAAAACGATAAAAATGAAATTTTAACTTGTAAAACAAAGCAACATCAACGTTTAACGAAATGCGAAAAATGCTTTATAATTAGAAAAAACGTAATCGTCGGCTTAAACGTAATTAATTAATATCCTGCGGTAATTTAAAATAAGCAAAGATCTGCTCTCCGTACAGTGGAATGTAAAAGAGCAACAAAATAACGGCGGCCTTTAAACATAAAATGTATATACTAACGACGAATACCAAAAGTTTTTAACTTGCGCTTTCATTTTTATACTCACAACCCAAGGTTGGCGATATATTGATTTTGTCAAAATTTTGAGAAAAGCTTCGGAGGCTGTATAAACTCTATATATCATTGCTCAGAATCAAATTCGAACAAATTGATTTAAGAATGGTCGTCCCTCCATCCGTATCTCTGGACAATAAATGCGGTGAAGATCTTGGAAGTTCTTGTATGTCAAAATCGGTCGAAAGATGTGCAAACAGAGCAACTTGCTTGAAAACACCTCAACTTAGAATACAAAAATTATATCTTGTTTATATATAAAGGAATATTTCTCCTGTGCGTAGTTCTTGGGAAGCGGGCCCAAAATGCAACCTAAGGTACTACAAGTTTAATCCGTACAGGGACCAGTATTCAAAAATAGGCGTAGAGAATAAAATTTCCCGGCAAAAGAGTTATATTTCGACTAAATAGTTATAATTCGACTTTCGAAATTGGTGTGAAAACTTTGGACCGGCGGGGCTAATCCTTTAAACCCACTTTTATAAAACCGCTTTTACGGAAATGGAAGCTTTATATGGTAAAAAGGTCGAATTTCCAATATTTCATTGTGAAAACTACCTCATAATCATAAATTGGCAAAGGAATATACCTTAAGGACCACATAAGACTGTTTTTTGGATACCATTGCATAAAAAGATTCTCATAAAACGTAAATCTTCCTATGCCAATCCTCATATGTTAATTTTTTTGTGATGAAAACTTGCTTGTGACAGTTATTAAATAAAAAAATGATGTAGACCTAACTTGAACCACATGGGTCTATTTCTTCCCCCACTCCATATAAGATATCTCATGATAATTTAATAATTCATAGAAGCGTTTGAGCAAAAAAAAATTAACGGTAAGGAATTTCGATCACATAGGTCTACTTCATTTGGACCCCCCATTTGTATAGGCGCTATCACGAAATGCAAACTCTTATGTGAAGAGAAAATCGAACCTTTCAGTATGCGGGCTTGGCATGAAAATGATGGCTTGACATGCAAATAATGTGTACTTTTTGTTGCGCGCAAATAACTGTACTAGGCGAAGTGGTGTAGGGTATGTATGATCGGCGTCACCCGAGTATAAAGCTCTTAATTGTTTTTTCTATAAACCTTAAGAGTTTAGATCAGTTAGATTTTGATTCTATCCAAGGATAATACAACTCCTTTGACAAAGTTTCAGTTTGCCAGGTTGTGCAAAGAATGCATTTAGCGAGGGATTAGTACATTACACAATTGTTGTAATTGTAACCGAAATATTTTTATTTACTTCATGTGAGAAGGCAGGTACAGCAAATTGGACAAAAGTCAATTAATTTCAAAAATGATTTACCGAACGACCAGTGATAGCAATAATAGTAAATATTAACAAGCAATTATTATAAATATTTAAGAGAGTAAATAAGTTGCAGATTAACAAAGGAGCAATATATTCTCGATAATGCAAATTGTCTTATCATTTTTGCCATGGTATTGTTATTGTTATTGTTTTTTTTTTTTTTTGTTTGTCTTTTCGTCCTTAACGAATATCCTTAATAGCAATTGGTATCGCTTTGTTCATTGTAAATATGTAAATTGCTTTTTTAGTATATAAATATATATATGTACATATATAGATATATATATATATATATATGAATATATATAAAAATCTATTGCCTTCATAAGCACGCTTTTCGAAATTCTAATATCAAAGTTATGACTAATTTAAGAATATTGTCTTAAAAAAAAAAAAAATTGTATGTAAAAAATTTTCACATTTTCCAGAGGATGAAATTAAGATTGGTAACGGTATAAAGACACCAGTCAATAATAATCGTAATCGTAATGGTTCAACCGCTGAAATGGCCGTAGATCAACTACAAGCGAGTGAAAAATTGATAGCAGGTTTGTAAGGATGCAAAATCGAATCTTTAACGGATTTTTTCGAAAATTGAAAACTTTACTTGTTGATCGTTTAGAATTAAATGAGACTTGGGAAGAGAAATTGAAGCGTACCGAAGAGATACGTTTACAACGCGAAGCTGTTTTCGCCGAAATGGGTGTGGCCGTTAAAGAAGATGGTATTACTGTGGGCGTTTTCTCACCTAAGAAAACTCCCCATTTGGTTAACTTGAATGAGGATCCAAATCTGTCAGAATGCTTACTCTATTACATTAAGGATGGCATTACCCGTCTGGGCACCCACGAGGCTAATGTACCGCAAGATATTCAATTATCCGGCTCTCATATATTAAAAGAACATTGCACGTTTGAGAATCGTAGTAATACAGTGACCTTAATACCGCACAAAGATGCCATGGTGTATTTGAATGGTCGTAAATTGGTCGAACCAGAAGTATTGCGGACCGGGTCTCGTGTTATTTTAGGTAAAAATCATGTATTTCGTTTCACTAATCCCGAACAAGCAAGAGAGATACGTGAGAAAATGGCGGAAAGCGCTGAGAATGAAATGGAGAAATGCGACGATGCTCAAGATATCGATTGGAATTTTGCTCAATGTGAGTTATTAGAAAAACAAGGCATTGATTTAAAGGCGGAGATGCAAAAACGTTTAGATAATTTAGAAGAGCAATATAAACGAGAAAAGCTTCAAGCCGATCAAGAGTTTGAAGAACAACGTAAGGTCAGTACTAATGAGTGACTGAATATAATGAATATTTGAAAGTAAATGGCTTTGGATTTGCACACTTACAGTCCTACGAAGCGCGTATTGATGCTTTGCAAAAGCAAGTCGAAGAACAATCGATGACAATGTCTATGTACAGCACGTACACTACAGAAGATATGCCCGAAGAAGATGTCTACTGTAAATATCGCCTATTAATAATGTTGTTAAAATAATCTATAGATTAATTTTTTTTTTTTTTTTTTTTTTTTTTGCCTTAAGCAAATCCAGCTTATGAAAGTTGCTGGTCTGCACGTGAAGCCGGCTTAGCTGCTTGGGCATTTCGCAAATGGCGTTATCATCAATTTACCTCTTTGCGCGATGACTTATGGGGCAATGCTATATTTTTAAAGGAAGCCAATGCCATCTCAGTAGAATTGAAAAAGAAGGTAAAAGCTTGCAAGAAAACTAAAGTCCCTTCTATTGGTTTCTTCATTAAGGGGACAGCAAAGAACTTCCTTTTGAAAAATTGGTTCGTTTAGGTGGTTGCGCAGCATATCACGACGTGTTGTTGGAAACACCTTTCCTAATAAATTCAATTTCAAAAATGTTTCTTAAAATTATTCGCTTAATATGACAGAGCGGCGATCGTCTATATCTGTTATGATCGAGCGAAAGTAACAATTGCCTTAATTGCAACGTTTCAAACTATTAAACAAATCCGAAATTGCAGCAAAGTTATTAATTTAAATAAGCCCTTTCACTAAGCAAGATTTTGTTGTAAAGTGCTTTAGTCTTTTCTTAACAGAAATTACTCTGCAAAGTAGTCGTACAAACATCTAATATCTGACAAAAGCGAACGATGCAAAAACAACTGCAATATTCATGTCATATTTTTCAACTCCTTACCTTGGTGGCAAGCGAATATTACGTAGTGTGTTGTCCGATCAAGAATATATAGATCATACAGAGTGTCTGAAGTTTTCTTTTGGGTAAGATGAGTATATTATCATCCTTCAGTGGCGGGTTTAATAGAGTAAAATTTACGTATAAGATATATTGAGAAAAGCAATGTCAGCACCAGTTCTCTTCTTACGGCTGAATGAAACGCTCTTCACTTAAGGGACAGGCTCTGATAAGTAGCAGTAGTAGTCGTAGTGTAAATATCTCGACATATCTTTAAAATAAGAATGCTCCACTGCGGCAAACATCTAACAAAACTTTTGTTCTTCTATCCCAATTCTTGTTTTTACTTCAAAACATTCAGGTGCAATTTCAGTTTACTCTATTAACTGATACCTTATATTCTCCGCTACCGCCGGAGTTGGCGTCATCAGCTTCTCCCATACAAAATGAAGATGAATTTGGTGTGCCACCAGTGTCAAAGACCATAGTGGCTGTCGAGGTTACCGATACCAAAAACGGCGCAACGCACTATTGGTCCCTGGAGAAGTTGCGGTAAGCCTGCAGCTTTCTTTCCGTATTTTGGTGTTTTATTTCGTTAAAAAAACTATTCTAAAAAGCACCATTTCAATTATGTTAATTTTTATTTTTGTTTTTTTTTAAATTATAATTTTAAATTTTAATTTACATTTTCTGTTTTCATTTTCTTTTTCTTTCGCCATTAAATTTTTACTCAAAGGCATTCTTTTATATTTTAGTTGCTTTAGAAGATTTCTTTTCAATCATTTTCGTACTATGGAACGCCTCTCTCGATTATATAATCTTTTGTTGTTTTACTTTTTCGTGCATGGTGGTTGTTTTGTTGTTATCACCTTTTAAGAAATCTTTTTTTGCAGAATAAACCAAAAAAATGTAAAATGAAAACTTTTGGGATAAAGTTCTAAAGCTTTGCGATATATACACTAAACCACCATAACACGAAATCATATCATCTTTTTTTTTCTAGTTTTCTTTACTTCATATTCCTCGTTAGTTCTTTTTTTTTTTTTTTTTTTATTTATTTTTGTTTATTTTTTTTTATTTTATTATTATAATATATATAAAGATACTTTATATATCCTTCAAAAAAAAAAAAAAAAAAAAAAAATCGCAACCATATACATGCGTTTAATTAACATTCATCACACATATACTTAGTTACCGTTTGGAAATGATGCGACAAATTTACAATGTGGAATCGCCACCCTCATCAATGTTATTCGATACAACGAATTTATGTGACAATGCTTCTTCCACATCATCATCAAATGGTTCCAGTCTTACAAATTCTCTCGGCAATATCGAGGCACAGCCTCAGCAGCAGATTTCACAACATAAATCCGGTCAACAACAATTAACTAAATCGAACAGCAACAGCTCTCCATCCCGTTTATCATTGGCAAATCTAATGCCTTCTAGGTTGGCTTTCATTTTGTCGAGGTTTTTAATTTTTTTTTTTCTTAAATTATCTTTTTTATGCAAATGTTGCTTTATTCTATCTTTCTCTTCTTATTTGTAATCTATCAATATATATACATATATATATATATATATATATAAACAAAGTTACTCACTTGTACCCCATGTAGATACACCATCAAAATTGGTTTCAGGTTTCAGCAGGCAGAGCATAAGAGAGAATGCTTCAAACTTACATTTATAAGCTTTATATTATCCGATATCTGGTTGTGTTACAATCAAAATTTACATTGTCCATTTCACGATACTGTCGACCTTAACAACCGAAAAAAGACCTGGCAGTCTATGAATGAAAAGATATTGAGTTTATAATTCCAAGATCAGGATGCGAAAGTTGCATTACGGCAGTTGGAAGGGCCCTTGAAAACTGGCATTTGAAAAAGGTCAGATGTGCAACAGGCGTTCGAACTCTTATACGCAGATGTAACGATTAAATCCAAAATTGTCTTAATTACTACAATTTCAGGACCCATCAAAAGCAACAATCGATAGATACTTTAGTCGTTTTCGCTCTGACTATTTTGGTTTTCAAAACTATTTTTGCGGAGTACAATAAATGAATTTCGTGATTGAAAAGATCGATTTTTTTAAAGAGACTCAACTAGCAAAAGCATTCCGATGTTGGTTGCCACATAGCCGAAATTTTAGAAACTTTAGTCGACAAAATCTTCATTAGCAAAATTCTGCTGGAAGGTTCACCAAGGCGGCCTTGACAAGTTTTTAAAAAAGGTGAACAAGTGAGGAAAGCGATGGCGATTGGAGCCAAGGAAAGCTCCGTAGGCTGAGATAAAGCCCACACGGGCAAGATGAAGTTAAACACAGAAATACAGATAAAGGTTGTGCGTTGCGCACGCCAGTCAAGTTTAGAGTTTAACGTTGTTCTCTCTGGCAACGCGAACGAAACATTCGAAACTCATAAGTAAATGTTAAAAAAGAGCTAATTAATAATAGCGGGAAACTGACACTTAGTTATTAATGTAGCTAACTTATGACCGAGGCTTGGCTCTGCCAGTCTTCATATGTTTTGCTCCTTTTCAAGTTTCCTGAACGGTATTAATTTTAGAATGTAACTCAAGAACGGCAAATGTCACGAATCTTTACCCGCAATGCAAGCAGGATTAATCCGAAAGACAATCAGCAACGCAGTTTGCCCATAACATTAAATGAATCTGTTAATCTGATCTCCAAATTTTGACGACCTATTAGTCCATAAAATCACAAATCAACAAACAATTGTTTAGTTTGAATTTAGTACGAAACGAAAAAGGGAATGAATAAATAAGAAGACTATAGCACAACACAATCTACACACTACTTAAGTAACATATCCGCATGATTTGAAGCTTCATATTTATCATAATTCTATTTTCAAAATTTCATATGCATATTAATCGTGATTTTATTGTTTACAATGCCTTTGGGAGAAGTTTTCATTTGATTTCACAGGAAATTATACAGCTACTTTTGCTTACATACAGCTGCACCTATATACGTCCTAGCTTTTCAAATAGCTTTCATTGCAAAATAATATTATCTTCTAACTCAAGTACGTCATTCATTTACTTACCATATATAATGCACATATTTGCCCGAATGCATCTCAGTATACATTATTAATAATTGGCTTTCAATGTATTCATCTTTTATCATATTTTTAAGGATTTTTATCAACAGTTTATGTTATTTCTTGACTTCTTTGATAAGTAGAAAAATGAAAGTACGCGTGCGTTCATTTTTTTTCAGACAACGTTTGGAATTAATGCGTGAAATGTATCACAATGAAGCTGAACTAAGTCCGACTTCGCCGGATCATAATGTTGAATCGTTAACTGGCGGAGATCCATTTTACGATCGATTTCCTTGGTTTCGTATGGTCGGACGGTCTTTTGTTTATTTAAGTAACCTTTTGTACCCGGTACCATTGGTTCATAAGGTGGCCATTGTTAATGAACGTGGTGATGTACGAGGTTATTTGCGTGTAGCCGTGCAGCCGGTACTAGTAAGTTTTTCCTGATCGTAATCAAAACTGGTTTTTTATTTCTCTACCAACGAATTTCCAGGACGAAGAAACAATCGACTTTAGCAATGGCGTTAAACAATCGGCTCGCTTGATCTTTAATGAGGAAGATGCTAAACCGAAATATCGTAACCTCAATGAAAAAGATGACGTGCAACGTTACATTGATCACGGCGGTTTGGATACAAAGTTGGAAGGTATGTGTTCGGATCTATTTTTCATAATCCTCTTGCTTTTATCCTTCGTCAAGAGATCGGTATAGTAAAATCTTGTCATTCCACTTTTAAATCGTCTCGTGCTCAGATCGACTTTCGAAAGATGACATTTTTTTTAAATTCCTTTTTAAACAAATATTTTCTTATATGGCGTGTGACCTTCCACTGCGTAGGCTCTTTACCGAAATTGTAAAGATATTAAATCGACGGTGACACAGAATTGATAACTTCATCTCAACACCATCTTTGTCACTTAAAGCTACACTGTTTTCCTCGCTCCTTGCAAGTCTGTGTCTTACTATTAACGAGATTTGAGTGCTGTTCGAATGTTTGTCAATACCCTCCTCACAGTCCGGGCAATAGGAACTCTACACGAAGAAGTCGTCGAGAATCTCGAAGATCGCCTGATTTTGGATATTTTTGTACTAAACTAGGAATTAGACTTGCTATGAAGGTCCAAAATTGACCACACTCTCCCTTTTGGGCAAAGCGATGTCTGCCTAACATTTCTAAACGTTTAGTGCCGCCTCGGCTTGAGGGTAACCCCGATACCTCTCGAACGGCGGTACCCAGTAGTCCTGACTTGTATCGCTCCAATTCCGATTTTTCATACGCATTGAAAGATGCCTACGGCCATTCTTAATACCCGCGACTTATCGAGATGGGTATGTTAGCCCCTTTAGTTGAGACTATAATGTTCACGGTTATCGGAATTACACCGCTTTTATCATAGTTACTCTTGCATTTGGATTAAGCATACATCCTGGAGTGCCATACAACTTTTTCCAATCGGATATCGACGCATATGACGATGCGGCCAGTTATACCATTACTTCTGTAGTTCCTAATTAAGAAGACAGATCTGTGAAAGAACTGATTATGAAGTTAAGAAATTTGCAAACAGACGAATTCCGCCACTCTCGATGGCTTTTCCTTTGTAGATTCTCATTGGAAATTTCCACCGGAACGTTGAAAATCTACGAACAAAGGCAAGAGCTGGCTTAACCAGAAGTAGCTTAGGCCAGAGGTCGTCTATTCGCAAAAAGGTGTGGAAAGTATTTTTCCTTGGGGAAGTTTCGTGGTGACTTTGGTTATCTCTAAATAAGTAACGTAGTTCTTGTGCAGTGGAGAACCCCATACCGGTTTTCTTATTGTGGCTCTCGAAATAAATTAGGACGTACTAATTGATGGAGATTCTTTACGCATAGCAATGATTATCTCTTCACATTAAGCCAAATGTATTAAACACTAATCCCTTATCCAGACATCTGTAACCAGGATTTCGATGCTTCTAATATTCTATGAGATAATTAAACAACTTTAGTCATGCACAGCCATAAAGTATCAACATTTATACCAGTCTTCTTGCCATCACGCACTTTCCATGCGGTATCTTGCAAGAATTGTATCTTATTGGCCTGTAAAGGCAAGTCCAAAAAAATATCTAAATGGTGCAAAATTAATACGGTAAATCTTTGCGGCAGATAACTGTTTTAATCATATCTTATCGTAATAAATAGTAAAAATTAGACATGTTCCCATATAAAGCTTTAATTTTTGTAGAGAAGCTTCTGGGAGAGAAAATACAATATATAGATCCGTCCCATTTACGTTTCGTTCACCAATTTTTGTCCAGTTATGTTCGATTGGCATAATACAAGCTGGGATTGCCTTAAGGCCTGCCGGGTATTGCATATCTCCGCATAACTTTAAAACCTTTACCGCGAAGTGATCTATTTAGCAATAATAGATTCTCACAATTTGAAACGTGCAGAGAAGTAGCGATAGAAGTAACGATATAACCTCAAAAGAAAAAAAAAAAAAGAACAACAATAACAAGAAAACTTTCTTCACACTGAATGGATACTTAATTTAATGCCTTAGGCGAATAAAGTTTCCTTAACTGTTTCTTCTTCCTCATCTAGAGCTTGAAGATGCTGATTCAGGTCGTGGCATTGACTCGAACTCGGCGTCAGAGTGTCAGGAGGCTAACGACGAGCCTGGCGAGCATTTACATACAGGCAAAGAATTTACATTCCGAGTTACAGTATTACAGGCTACGGGCATTGGAGCCGAATATGCCGATATATTCTGTCAATTTAAGTTAGTTGGAATAAACTTACGTTTGACGTTGTCCTCCATTTTACTAAAATTATTTACAATTTTACTTTTTTAGTTTCTTGCATCGACATGAGGAGGCCTTCTCGACGGAACCGGTAAAAAATGCAGCAGCTGGCGCACCCTTGGGTTTCTATCATGTGCAAAATGTGAATATTCACCTTAATCGCTTCACTTTACATTTATTGTTTTGTATTTTTAGATAACTGTTCCGGTTACCAAATCGTTTATTGAATACTTGAAAACTCAACCGATTATGTTTAAAATTTTTGGACACTATCAAACGCATCCTTTGCATAAGGATGCTAAACAAGAATTCGTTTCGCGTCCACCGCCCAGACGTATGCTGCCACCCAGTATACCGATATCACAGCCTGTGCGTAGCCCCAAATTTGGTCCTTTACCCTGTCCACCGTCTTCAACAGTTTTAGCTAAACACGATGTTTTGGTATGGTTTGAAATATGTGAATTGGCTCCTAATGGTGAATACGTACCAGCGGTAAGTGTTGCTTTTCTTTTTTTTTGTAATCAAAATCTTCATGAATTTTTCATGTTTCCTCGTTCATAGGTGGTGGAACATAGTGATGATCTTGCTTGCCGTGGATTGTTTCTTTTGCATCAAGGCATACAGCGACGTATACGTATAACGATTGTACATGAACCAACACCTGAAGTCAAATGGAAAGACATACGCGAATTAGTTGTAGGACGCATACGTAATACTCCTGAATCTTCAGAAGACGATGAAGATTCATGTGTTTTGTCTTTGGGCTTGTTTCCGGGCGAAGTATTGGAGGTAGCCGGAGATGATCGTTCATTCTTCAGATTTGAGGCCGCCTGGGATTCCAGTTTACATAATTCAGCTTTGCTCAATCGTGTCTCTCAGGGCGGTGAAACGGTTTACATAACTTTGAGTGCTTATTTAGAGGTACGTTCCTAAAAAAGGTAGAACGCAGTCGATGTTTATTTCTTTAATTTTTGTTTTTTCAGCTGGATAGCTGTGCTCGTCCGGCTATAATTACAAAAGATTTAAGTATGATTATTTATGGACGAGATGCTCGCACGGCGCCTCGGTCCTTGAAACACTTATTCTCTGGACAATATCGTAACCCGGAAGCTAATCGTTTAACGGGCGTTTATGAATTGTCATTAAGAAGAGCATCCGATGCAGGTAGTCCAGGTAGAAATTTTTTGGCGTAGTAATCATTGTTGTATATACACATGTATTAAAGAACTTTAGCTTCAACGAAAGAAATGTAACTTCCCCCCTCCCCCAGTTTAGTAATTTTTTTTTATTTTTGTCCAAGGTGTACAACGTCGACAACGGCGGGTTCTGGATACAAGTTCAACTTATGTTCGAGGGGAAGAGAATCTTCATGGTTGGCGTCCTCGGGGCGATTCTCTTATATTCGATCATCAATGGGAATTAGAGAAATTAACACGCCTCGAAGAGGTTGGTCGAGTTCGCCATTTATTATTATTGCGTGAACGTTTGGGTATGGACATCAATCCAAATCCGACTACAAAAACTGAGAAAGATGTTTGCAATTTGGCCGCTAAAGCTGCCACCTCACCCGTTCATATGGTTCTGCCACCATCACCGCAAACACCGGTTAAAGACCCGCAGCAAATCATACCCGAACGGGAATATAACGAACGTGAACGGGAACTTATGTTAAAATGTGTAAAATTAATACAAGGTAAGATATCAGAAATGAAGGAAGAGTTTATTTAAAAGAAATATATCTTAGGACGATTTAATAAATCAGATAATGCGGACAACCAAATTCAATCAGATGTTTCGCCCAGTGATGAGGGCTGTGCTGATATGACCGTCAGTTGTATATCCAGCAATTCCATGGAGTGAGTATTTCGTTTGTTTTCTTCCGATTTTCATGGGATATTTCACTTAAAAAGTTTTTTTTTTTTGATTTTGAATAAAAGTAAACCCTAATTTTTTCAATTTTTCCTTTTATTTATATTTATGTAAAAAAAAAAAAAATACTTGATTTGGTTTCCACATTAGACGAAGGTAAATTTTTTATTCTGTTTTATTTAATTTCTTCTAGTATTCTTTGTTTCTTTGCATGTGAACGTATGTATGTACACATATATATGTAACATGTAAATTGAGCTTAAGAAAAAAGGTTTGCTTTTTTTAAAAATTTTTTAATTTTTTTTTTTTTTATTCGTTTAGATTATGCTCCCCTGATCGTGCAGATGCACCTAATGGTTGGGAGGCTCCAGCTCCGGCTACCCAACCAGCTCTTCCTCTTCGCTTATATGTACCCGAGCTAGAAGAAATTCGTGTTAGCCCAGTAGTGGCCCGTAAAGGTCTGCTAAATGTTCTCGAACATGGCGGTTCAGGGTGGAAGAAACGTTGGGTGGTAAATATCGTAGAAGCTTTTAATATCACCGCTTATTTTCTCATAGCACTGAATTTTTAGGTTGTCCGACGTCCCTATGTGTTTATTTATAAATCTGAAAAAGATCCCGTTGAACGGGCAATTTTAAATTTGGGTACAGCACAAGTTGAATGCAGTGAAGATCAAGCAGCCATGGTTAAGATACCAAACACTTTTAGGTAATCAAAAATTAATGTTTCTCCTTATATTTTGAACCTTTGTAATTCGAAATCTTTTCCAGTGTGGTTACCAAGCATCGCGGATACTTGTTGCAAACATTAGGGGACAAGGAAGTTCATGATTGGCTCTATGCTATCAATCCACTGTTGGCTGGACAAATCAAGTAAGTTATAAAAGTCAAAAAAAAAAAAAAAAAAAAGAAGAAAAGAAAAAAAATCCTTTGCATTTTGTCTAGATCCCGTTTGGCTAGACGTACACAAGACACTGTTTCGCAAACAGTCTCGCAAATTCAAGCCACTACAGCCGCAAACCAAGCCGCCAACACCAAATGAGATACAATTACGATGGAATCTGTGTTGGTTTATTAATTATAGTTTCATGGCATTAAATACTAAAAAAAAAACAATTACAAAACCAAAATTTTAAAGAAATGTCAGAGCAAAATGAAAATTGTGCAATATATTCAGGATTCCATCGTTAAAAAAAAAGAAGATAAATAAATAAATAAACCAAAAAACATTTGAAATGCAGGCGTTGAATGACTTACGACCCATTAATATTATGAAACGAAATTATGAAGACAAGTAAAATGATAATAACAAAAAAGGAAATAAAAATAAAAAGTATAATAGTAGGACAGATTTTATTCGGCTGCGGTCAGATTATGTGATACCCACCACCAGAATCGTAACCTTTCTAAAAAAAATTCATTGTGATAACAAATTAGAACAACGAGAGCTATGCTTGGAGCGATACGATAGTTTAGACAGATTTATGACAGTTTGCAATAATTGTTAAAAAACTGATGACGTATTTAAAGCGGTGGTTACTCCGTAAAGCATTAATTTCCAATCATCATTGATTATTGATAATTTCATCTGTTTGCTTAGGATGCAAACAAGAAGGCATTTAACCCGTTGACGTATAGACGTCCACTGCATGTGCTTGTAGATGCAAACGATGTCTACAGCAGTCCTATATTCTTAGTATTATAGAGCAAAAAAAATAGAAAAAAAAAGGGAAAAAAGAAATGTGTCTTTGCAAGCACTCACTGATTTTAAAGTGAGCGTCAACGTGTTCAAAAAAAAAAACCAAGTGATAGCAAAGAAGCCTTTGGCTGAGAAAAGAGAAGATATCCAATGTTTTATATATGAATTCCAATGAAAATTATTTATGCCTATTAAGCAAGCAAGGAAGGTATTTTACTTTATTTGACCTTAAGAAACCACTAAAAGAAACGTACGACGCGATAAACTTATTATAGATCGATTGGTGGTGGGTATAAAAAAAAACGTGAAAAAACTATACATAATTTATGTAATACGTTTATAAATATATTATACATAATTTAGGAGAAAGCAGAAAAAATCTGAAATATTTACGTCAACATATATATAACAAAATTGGTCTCAAAATATAAATGTATTTATTATTCATTGATCTTTTTTTTCCTTTCGGTTTTAAGATATTTAATAAAACAAAACAAAAACCGTTGACTTTTATCTTAACAAGGTGTGTGGCAACACATCAAGCCCATATTAAATATAAAATGAAAATTAAACCGCAAACAATATCGATGGACGTGCTAATAATGCGAGGGGGCAGAAAACCAATTAACGCTTAATTGCAGAATTTGTAGTAAAATGTTTTCGTTTCTTTTTTTCTTTTCCTTTGCTTAATTTGTAGATTTGTAGTTTAAAGCTCTATTCCAACAAAAAAAAAAAAAACAAATAATTTTCGAACAATTTTTCTTTAGTTTCTTAATTCCTTTTCTCATTTCTTGGTTGGCTAGTTATAAGAGCATATGATTTGAATATATCTATCTCGCTTGCTAGGAATATTTTTTGTACATATATATATGAATTTTTTTTTTTTTTTTTTTTTATCTAAGAAATAAGCAAAAGAATCTCATCACCAGCACACAGAAGTATTAAAAACATTTAAGTATTTATAAAAATTTATTAAATATAAAAAAAAAAATTAATTTATATGTTTATGATTCTCTTATATAAAATAATTTATAAATATATATGTGAAAAACTTAAAAAAAAAAATAAAAACAAAACAATTTATTCATGTTATAACCAAATAAAATGAAAATGAAAATAATAATAATAAAAAAAAAAATAAGAAAAGCTTATATGCGGCCTAAGTACCAATGTCTATATATATTTGAGTGACAGATGAACACAACACAACACACAAATTCAATAATCATGAAAATAGGTCGACAAAAAGTTTGATCAATTGGAACATTTTGCTATGCAAGGGTTTATTTTTACACTAACTATTTGTTTTAGAGAAGAACATTTATGGCGTTTTTTCGCTATAGATAAAATTTACACCTTGTCTTGTTACACTCTGTAAAGAGGTTCGTCTTTCCAGAAAAAAAAAAAAAAATAAATGCAAATGTCGCCTTCTTTTTTTCATAGAATTGAATTTTCAAAATACCTCTGCATATTTATGATGTTTTTCTCTTGAGATGTGACTCCTAATGTAAACTCTAATGTACTGCACAGTATCTCGTACTTTTAGTTATACCGCGGCGACTTGACATGGATTTCAAAGTGTAAACTTCGCTCCTTATTGATTTGTATTTCGCAACTTGCGCATTAAATTGACATAAACTAAGCGCTTATCGCTTCCTAAGTTGTTTGCAACTAATTTTCGTTATGATATGCCTGAGTGTCTTATTTGTTCTCATTTGCAGGAGGGTAAAAATTAAGGCATAATGGAGCTAAGCTTAACTCTTACGTTGTAGACGATGAGTACGGATCAACGAAACATCGCGATATATTCATATTGTTGCAACATTTTCCCATTTCCCAGAGACAAGTTCCAGACACCATATAAAGTATATATGTGTTTATGATCTGTGCCAATTTCTAAATCGACTCAGCCATAGTCGTCTAACCTTCTAATGTCTATTGTAAAAAGTTACGACATTAAATGGATCCATCTATTAAAGGACGCTCTTACACTAAAAATGCGACTTGTATCCTATGGGTGATCGATCCTACAAAACCTGCAGCAAAATGAGAAAAATCTGCTAGGGCTACCCAACAGGCGCAAGCAGGCGCACGAAGAAAAGCTAAAACTGGCCACCTCTGAGGCGGGTACTGCTCACTTCCACTTATCTGCTATATTGCTGCGACCAATATTTGGACCACGCTTCTGTTAAAGTGATAGAAATTGAGGGCGCATTTTGATTAAATGAGAAATTAAGTATGATTCAGTTAGTGTAAACATTGGCATTATCAGCTAGTCCAAGAGGTATGCGTGCTCAGGTTATATACGATCAGATGAGTATCCTTACTCGAGTTCGTTTCGCAGAATTTGAAGCAGCTAAGTGTTGAGTGGGAAAATTGGGGCAAGTAACAATAGCAAATAATAGCTTGCCATGTATAGCCTGATGGCTACGTGCAACCACAGCTATTCATATTGCCGTTGCCTTGCAAGGCTAAAGAAAGGTATTACTCTTTATTTAATATTTAAAATATTTTACTTCAAAACTTACGATACCACCGAGTAAGGACGGCTTCTGATTATCTTGTTGTACCGGAAAGCTTGCAGTATCGAGTATCGAAATTTAATTTTTTTTTTATTTTTTTTTAGGATAAAGTTGTGAGTGTAAAAGGATATAATTTTTGGACTTCAATAATAAATTGATACAGTTTCTGAAAACTCTCGTTTGATTGCATAAGGAAAGTTCTCCATTGCTTTGTGTTATATCATTTATCACCATTTGTTGTATTGCATGCGATTTAATTATGAGACAAAAATCTACATTGTTTTTATATTTAATTTAATTTAATATTTCCTCCATTACTACTAAAGAGATATTTTTTGCCTCACCTAAGATCAAGAATTTATAAAAATATAAAATTGCGAACGTGTAAAGACATCAGAATATATGCTTTAACAAAGAAATCTGTTCTAAGACTCAATTCTATGAAGAAAGTACCGTTTAACATAATTTACTTGAAGCAGTTGATACATTTTTCTTTTACCAATTTTCCATACTTTATTTACAATCGTAACTTAAAGCTTGTGAAGCTTTAAAGCTTTACGATTATTATCAACGTATCCGCAATATAAAACTGAAAATTGATAATCTTTTCATTTGTATTTATTGGAAAATACAAACTGTTAAGAATTCGGGCAGAGAGCAACGAGAATAAATAAATGTATATAAAGAAAGGTATTAAAGATCTTTTGATATTCCATAGGCCTTATTTAATTTTCATAGAGTCCGCGACAATAATGGAAATTGAATTATATTTAAAATTTTCAAACTTGATATTTTGTTTTAAAACTTCAATTTTGGCAATTATCTAAAAACATATTAGAATTTGCAACTTTAACTCTACCGCCACTAGACAGATATAAATAATTAGGACAAGTCAGACGAAATCGTAAGCCGTACGCTTCATTTGATGGAATTACCTCGATTTTAGACGCGATATATTTTAATGAAATTGCTAAATGACGCTATTCACCAAATTATGAGATTTTTTTTCTAAATGAAAATTAGTAAATTTCTTTCAATATTTTCAATTTATTAAAGGAAAAAATAAAAATTTATATGTAAAATAGTAAAATATTGTGTTCTTTTTTCTGTTAAACTATGTTTTACTTTGTATAAATTTAAGTAAAATGGAAAAATTGAATTGAAAAATTCAACAAAAAAAAACAACAAGAGGTATCCGCCTCTGTTTAACCTTTTCACAGTAATATATAATTAAAACTTGTCCTTGGCTCTCGCCAAGAAAAAAAATAAAAGAACGAAAATGTTTAAAATAAAAAATGTATGTCATTTTTTTTCGATATGTGTGTATGCAAAGCTACCTAAAATATATATAAATGTAATTATGTAATGTACGTATATACACGGAAAAAAAGGAGTCCGAAACATTCCAGTCGACAGAGTAATCGAGTAAATAATAAACCGAGAAATATAAATATAAAGAAAAAACAGAAAATTCATTATTCATTGCCTTAAAAATATCTACATATATGTGCAGCAGTCTGCCATCACTCTCTTAAGTAAGTAACATCGAATAATAAAAAAAAAAAAGAAATTCCCCAGGGGTACGATTTAAAGCTCTTGAAAGAAAACTTTAAATGGAAAAGCCTTTAATATAACCATAAAGCGGACTTAACTGCGCCTTATTTTCAAGAAGTAAGCAATTTCTAAAGACATGATTTTACAACTCTTTTTAGCTCTTCTGACCCATACATAAACTCACAAGACTATACGCGAACCGATGAAAGGACTTTTCGTTGTTATGTTCGGAGGCATCGTTGGCCAATGTGTTCGATTACCCAAACAACTGACCTTTTACGTAACAAAGTATATAATTTACACAAAATTTTACAAAAATTAATAAAATAATGATTTCATGTCTATTGAAGTTGGCGGCACATTTTTAAAAGCATGTTCTGTTTCGAGTATTAACAGAAAAGCGGAAATTTTCGAATACGTCTTTCATTTATTTCCAATGTATGACGATTCAAATCAACCACATAATCGATATTTTGCGCATTTTCATATATCCGTTCACTTTGAAATTTTAGGCATCTGCCAGATAACGGTAAAAGAAATGAAGAGTCGCTCTTTTAAGAAACGTTATGGTTACATTCAGTTTTCTTTATATCACCTAACAATTTTCACTATTTTCTTTTACTTTCTTACTAATTTTAATTAAAAAATGGCCAAAAAGTTCTATATTCCAACGTGCATTTTAACTATTATTAAAAATTTATTTCAAGTAATATGAAAGACGAGATTTTCTACGGGACAAAAGCTGGGTTGAATTGTTTATCTGTCATTGCTAATTCATTTTTTTTTTATAAATACATTTTGTTAATATTTTATTTATAGTTTAACTTTGCGATGCACGCAGGCGTTTGATTGTTTAGGTGAAGAAATTATCTATATATCATATATATTTTCTATCAAAATCTTATTTCAAAACTCTTTAGCTTTTAAATCGCATGCGATAAATAAATAAAAATGTAGTCTATCGGATTTTGTTATTGCAAAATTATCGTTCCCATTCATTCTTTAAAGACAGCCGTGTTCTGTTTTGTGCTCTTTTGTGGTCACTCTCCTCTTGCTTTCTACCTTTACGTTCTTTCAGAATTGAAATTTATTTTTGCACTCCCTACGTGGTAAAAAAAAATTAATTCATAAGCCAATAAATTTACATACGAACTGTATATTCATACCTTCTTCTGACCACTAAGTGCACGCTCTGAACATGGAAAGTGTTTTGGGCTTGTTGGGCGTATTGTGTTTTTCGTTTTGCATTGAAAACTAAAAGAAAACACGCAACACCATATCCACGATTGTGTATAATAAATAACGCGAATTTTTAAAAAATTTTCAATTAATCATTGAGTAGATTTACCTTTTATTAAAGAGCACAAAAACGATGTGTTTGAAACATTGATAATTAAGTACCTTTAGATAAATATGTTGATGTTGACGTATAAAACTATACGCAGTTGGATATCTAAAATAAAGTCTTGTCAGTTGCTTGTGTCAATTTTTATCCCATTTTCTAAAGCAGAATTCATATCTAACAACTCGACAAATGATCAAAAATCAGAGTCAATTGCACAATTGGCATCGTATTTTGGGGCAAATTTTTTCATTAGGACTCGTGGCTTTAAGTTAATGAATATCGTTGTAATTAGAAAAGTTCGAGGTAGTGGAATATTTCGTTTAATTTAGTTGCTGAGTTTAATGAAATCGAAGTAAAAGACGAGGAGAGAGGGAAAAAGGAGTCTAGCCCTGCAGTAATATGTTTTTTTTTTCATGTAAAAAACTTCAACAGTAATGATCTTCACAGAGCTTGTCAAACCAATAAAGTAGTTATGTTGCGTCATTCACATCCTTGCTGCGTTTTTGTCTTATTGTCTTGTCTGGAAGGCAAGTGGAGCAGATCGTAGATTACGATTTATTTTTTCATCGATCTGTGAATTTGTAGAATTTTCTAGAATTTGTGCATTGGGGATTTTATGTAGATAAGACTTACACTTCGTATTGATTAATCGTGCGTTCCAAAATATTTTACACGTATGTAAAATTTTTTCAATTTTCAAAATCTGTATTCATACGATATCATAGTCAGGAGTTATTCTACGGTAATAAACTTTTAGGCTAATCGTTTCAGCTCAGTTGTTAAGCTTTTTGGACGGTAATAAAAACCATCGGCAATATTAATAGATGGATCAATAACGTCTATGACAGAGCCACTCAATCATAGATAAGAAAAAGTCCGAAAGATCAGATTCGATTTTTGTACTATCTCTCTGGCTAAATTAATAATAATAACACACTTATTACGTCTGCAAACAGGCTTTAAAAATGCCTTAGACTCCACATGAGTTGAAATATGTTTCCGAATAGTTGAAACGGTTTAAAAACAACTCGGTGACAGACTTATCTCAAGGTCATTCCTTCTATTTGGTTTCTACATATACGTGGTAACCATTAATTCAAAATTTTCAAATGACATCTGCTATGGGAATCGGACAAACTTTTGTTAGCAATAAAAACACATAAAAAAAATCTTTGGTATAATATTTCTTCTAATGATTCGCTCTCTATATATTCTAGGTTTTTTTGTCAAAAATAATTGCAGTCATCATTATGAAGTCTTGAGTACTGTTACTTTTATTTCTTAAAATATTTCTGGAAAACAAATAATCCTATTACCACGCAGAAATCAGTATTAGTCGTCCCATTATTGACACCAATGTGCATGGAGTGCATTTTTCAGTGAGTTTATTCAGTCTCATGCACGCGATTCCAAAATTTTTAACCTTTGATGCCATTATAAAATATTTTTCAAGTTCCTGGACGCTTTAGAGCCTTTTAGGTACTACCCACTATTGAATCTTTCTCATGCTTTGCGGGCAAGATGCGAGCTTTCTCTAGAAAATGTTAATGTAGTCTGTTAATTTTAGTTCAAGCTACAAATGGAGTTCTTTTTTGCATCTTAAGCACTTGCTTTTTTATTAATATCTTAAATTAGTTGTAGTGTCATTTAAATCAAAATACTTAAATTTGCAGAGATGTAGATTTGTTCTATATATACTCTAAACTTTATTAGCCAAAGCATTCACGCGTTCCTCTACTTTGGCCATCTCTTTATTGATGGTATTCAGATTTTCTGCAAATGTCTCTTGCACGGAATGTAACAATTCTCTGTTATTAACCAAAGTAGTACTAATAGTTGTTTGTTTCTCCTCAATTTCAAAGATGATTTTAGCAAAATTCATAGCTAAAATTTATAGGGTTAATTAAGAATGTATAATAACTATAGTTTCAACTCTTGACGCTCGCTTACCATATTTATGTAAGGCTTCTAGAGCCTGCATCCTTTCAATAATATCTGACAATACATCGGCTACCGGTTCAGTTCTTTTAGCAATATTGTACAGTTCAATAATTTTCTGATCACGTTTAGCATCCTCCGAAGAACCGCTAGACTTCTCCGCAATTGCATCCATTTTGGCGATTAATGATCCTAAACGTGATTCTATCGATTCTACCTTCTCTGCTTGCAGCATAGCCGACTTGGTGCTAAGTTGTCGCACTGCGTCCACAATATTTGTATGTTGGGTAAGTGAAGCTAGACGGCTAAGCTTTTCCGGTTGGGCACCAACAGCTTGTTCTAATTGATGCAAACGATGTTCTAATTTTGCGACACGTGCTGTTGCCGCTAAATCGTTACCAGAAGGTTCTATGGCTGTTAAAATACCAGATTTCTTGTATTCATCTACTTGATTGATTAGAGCTTTAACTTCCTTATCAGCCATATCGGGAGTTTGCTCTTTACCCAGCACTTGCTCCAGACGCAAAGAATCTAGAACCTTTTTGGCGGTAGCTATTACGCTAGCAACCGCGTTGTATGATACCTTTTCTTCTTCCTTTAACTTGCGGTCATTTTGTAAAGCAGACACCTCATCCATTAACTCATTCATTTCCCACTGTAGTCGGCGGCACTTTTGTACTGGTGTTTCTTTTTCCCCCACACCAGCTATTTCCAATTCTCCCCAAGCAGCACCGTAACCACGACAACCTCGTTTGTTAATACGTTCGGAAAAATCCACTGGACCTTCCAGACGAGCATGACGGAAGCGTTGATAAGAGTTTTGCGTAGATATATGCAAACGTTCAATGGCCTCGTTTTCGGGCTCCTCTTCATAATAATCTGAAGTCTCTGGTTCTGGGTTATCAGGTGTCTCGTAAACATCAGGTTGGTCATAAGTCTGAGAAACAACGAAAAGCATTTAATTATTCCAGTTTACATCAAATCTTATAATTAAATGAATAAACAAAAATACGGTTTTCATCACAGATTTCTGACCATTACCGAAAATATTTTGCATCGCGCTAATTTTTAAAAATCATGTGACCGAATCTACGTTGTGTTTCTGTTGGAATGAATATCAGCCCACAAAAAAAGAATTGTTCTAGTTAAGGTTCTTTAATGTTCTTTATGGAAAATTAATTAGTTGGATTTTTGCTCCGCGAATTTGCAATTTGCGTCTAGCAATTTTGTTTAGTTTGGGGGCTTGGTAAGGCTAGATTGCTTGCTCGTTAACGGCTCTTGTATAAGCTACATTTTCGAATTGAGTCTTCCTTTCCTTAATTAGAACTTGCCCTCCCTTGACACCAAATTCTACCAAGATTCCGACGTACAAAACCTTGAATAGTCTGGTTAAAAAAATCGTCTTTATCATCGCTCTCTTCTTCGGTTAAAAGAAACACTACAGAATTTTGAAGCATTTCGTTCATTTGGTTGGTAAACTCTTAACGTAGAGAAGAATCAACATTTGTTTTTTACTTACAATGCCTGGCAAATTTTCGAATTTTGGGTTGGCCATTATGACGGGCAATGCGTTGAATTATTTCTAACAGCGACGTGTTGACAGTTTTCCTTTAGTTTTTGTATTTTATTTGACTCCTTTTTTATAATTTTCTTATATATGATAAAACTTTCTTCGCGATATTAAGATAAATCTGTGAACTCATCGATTGTATAAAAAACACCCAGTGTTAGAAAGTGAACGATTTCTTCCTCTAAAACGTTGCCATTACGATATTAATTGTATTGAAAGTGTGCCATTGTAGCACTACAAAAGGAAAGAATGCGATAGCAATTAAACAAACTATCTAGCTATGTGAATTACAATTGTTTTTAGGAGTAATTCGTACTATAAATAATAAATTTAAAGAACATTTTCCCGATAATTTCGGTATCTTCTTTTATGTTGCTATCTTTTTCCATCACATGTAAGCGATGGGTAAATCAAAACAAAGTATAACCGGCAACTCATATAAACAAGAAATTCGAGAAACAATCAGCTGTTGCCTAAGCAAGAGAAATGAAATTTATTTTTTTTTCAATAATGGCGTCTTGGGAATGCCTATTATATTCTGCTTTTTTTAAAGAAAAAATAGAGCGATTTCATGACTTTGTTTTAAAAATGTTTTTACTGCTGTATATTTAAGCCTTCTTTTCAGTTTTCTTAGGCAATAATACGGCCTGTATATTTGGTAAGACGCCGCCTTGAGCAATGGTTACACCCGACAAAAGTTTGTTCAATTCTTCATCATTCCGAATGGCCAATTGCAAATGACGAGGGATTATTCTGGTTTTCTTGTTGTCTCGAGCTGCATTGCCAGCTAATTCCAGAACTTCGGCTGCCAAATACTCCATAACTGCCGCCAAATATACAGGAGCCCCAGCACCTACCCGTTCCGCGTAATTGCCTTTCCGCAGTAAACGATGGATACGACCAACGGGAAATTGCAAACCGGCACGATTGGAGCGTGATTTAGCTTTGCCTTTAGCTTTACCACCTTTACCGCGACCAGACATGTTTTATTTTTCTGCTTTTCTTTTTAATATATTATCTTAAAACACACACCAATGAGCGCACTCACAAGATTGATAACGCGTCACTGCAATATATCTTGTATATATACTTTTTTTTAGCTACTAAACAGTTACTAAACAGAGTTGAATTTTTTGCGTTTGATAACATCGCCGCTAAAAAAGCGCTTGAATGATGTAGTAGAAGAAAAATTTTGTATATTATGTTTAAATATCACATATCGATATTTAAAAAGTTAAATGAAGAAAAAAGTCTCCTGAAATAGGTGACCAAAAGTAGCGAAAAACTCTAAAGCATAATTACGAAAAGTACAAAAAGAAAGAATTGCTATGTTTGTAAAGTTTAATACAAGTATATGTGAATTGAATTCTCATTGTAGTCGTTGAATATTATAACTTGTTTTTCCCTCGAAATTTGCACATCTCACTTGGTTTGTTTTAATAAAATGTAGGCTATCAAAAGTGGGAAAAGTACAACGGTTTTCGGTGGTTAGCATATTATTGCTCTCAATTAGGACAATATTGGTTCAAATGTAAATTGAGAATAAAATCTGTCGATCACAATTGCTCAACTTTTTAGTAGAGAGACCACAGTATGAACAATTTTATATTAATACCGTACATATAGGCACACATGGCCAAACGGTCATTGAAGACTCCTTGAAAATTTTTGGAAGAAAATTGGCCTCATTCTTAAACCCGTAAATGATGCTAGGTCATAAAGCACGATGACTACTAGAATAGTCTTTCAGCTCTCTCTGCATATATTTTATAACTAACGCAACAATACATATTCGTGTAGGACTTTACAGCTAAAAATAAATTTTTAAGGAAAAAAAATTCAGCTATTCCATTTTCAAAAAGCGGTGGTTGCATTTGCTTTCGCTTTTTTTGAGTTCTTTTATTTAATTCCGCCTTTGCTTCGTTTACCGTTTTAACGCTTATTACATTGTCCGTGTTTTTCTCCTTTTCTAACAACATCTGTCGAAATTGGCGGCACAACTGTATTCTTCGTTCTACACAGTGGTTCAATGAAGTCTACATGCAGCATGAAACATTAAAGTTTCTCTTAATGAAGACTTATTATTATTAGATTTGTGTGTTGCTGGCAAAAAAATGTATTTCTTAAGAAACAAGAACTTATACGGAAAAAAATATATTTTCTACATCCTCGACAGACTCTCTATCATGCTTTACATTTGTTAAAAAATATTGTATTGCCATCCATCTACTAGGTTTCTTTCATACTCTTTGTTTAGCAAAATTTCGCTTATAAACGGTTTTTTTCTTGGAATACGTCCGCGAAAACATTTCCAACGGCTTGGGAATAAATACTAATTGGTTTTTAATAACCGTAATTTTAATTTTTGGTACTGTATGTAGATTTTATTCGGCTACCGCATGAAGTTAGTTTCCCACCACGGCAAGCGAAGGTTTCAGACTACTATTTTGCTGTAACGAATTTGTAGGGAAATATAAGAAGGAAGCATTTTTATTCTATATGCGATCCGCCTGAGTGGCCGAGTAGGCAAGAGTCTCGACTAGCAACTCCAATGCTCGTGGGTTCAAATTTCAAGTGCGGTAGAGTTTTTAATAAAAGCCGATAGCCTTAGATGCTAGTGCTTTTAAGAGTTTAGCCTTTGAATTTATTTCTCTGGCGAAATTAATAATAATAATAATAATAATATCCTATATGCGAAAAGATCAATACCTCCCCAAATTATATTTAACAGAGCCGATGGACTGTGTTGCGAGTGTCCAGCTTGTTTCGTATTATACTCTAAGAAGCTATTTCCTTAGCCTAGAAAAATTATAATAATAATTACATTTAATGAATTAAATTTCGTCTTCATACTTTTTTGTTGCTACTGGAGGTTTCTTTCATATTTTTTGCATCGTTTGCTAATTAATGGTAGGTACAGATCATGTGTGAGCAGGATTTCTAATTTTTATTATAGGATTCGCATCATTAGCATTAGCAACAAGTTTCCATTAATTTACCTCACTGTAGACTTTCAGCGCTTAAAAGTTCTTTTTCTGTTGCATGTAAAGCGGTGGTTGAAAAAAAATTTTAAAATTGCTTTTGCATTTTTGAACGACCCTTATGTTAAGGTCGCCGTTACTGTACTCTTGTTACCATTATTTTATTTTCCAAAAATTTTCAACAAATATTCCAATGGTTTCGTAAATATAACCTCTTATATACGGGTCTATAACTCCACCTGAGTTTTTTTTTTTTGCTATTAATATCTCAGTTATATCACCGAATTCTTACTGTTGTTCTATATATGTATGTATAGATGTATGTATAGATATTATTTTGTATTAAAACATTTACTTTGAAAGCAATATTTGGCTTTTATTTATAACTAATGCTTATGTCAGTATTTGTACCATAGAATATGTACATTAAACATTACCTTGTTTTAAAATTATTAAAATGATTTGTCTTTTTTTTTGGTTTTGGAAATACAAGTAATGAGAATGACAAGAAAAAAAAAAGGAAAGAAGAGTACTCTAAGCGCGTTCCCCACGTATACGTCTAGCCAACTGGATGTCTTTAGGCATAATTGTTACACGCTTGGCATGAATAGCGCACAAATTGGTATCTTCGAAAAGGCCGACCAAATAAGCCTCGCTAGCCTCCTGCAAAGCCATAACAGCAGAACTCTGGAAACGTAGATCAGTTTTGAAATCCTGAGCAATTTCACGTACTAAGCGTTGGAAGGGTAATTTTCGTATCAACAATTCGGTACTTTTCTGATAGCGACGAATTTCACGCAAAGCAACTGTGCCGGGGCGATAACGATGTGGTTTCTTAACACCGCCAGTAGCTGGAGCACTTTTACGGGCGGCCTTAGTAGCTAATTGTTTTCGTGGCGCTTTACCGCCAGTAGATTTACGGGCAGTTTGCTTAGTGCGAGCCATTTTTCACTTTTTGTTACTTGATTCTGCAGCCGTTTAAATAACTTTTTCAATACCTTCGAATAATCTTCACTGATCACTTTACAATAAATGAATGTTCTCTTGTACGATTATGAGTTGCACTTATATAGAAAATTCCACTACAAGAGTAAAATAAATGTTTAGCACTCGTTTAGGTAGTCGAGTTTACGCATATCAGTTTAAATATGCTCTTGCATGTGTTTCGTTTGCTCAAAAATTGTGTCGAAATTTATATAAATAGTGGCGCATTAACACAAGCAAGGGCGTTTATTAAGTCCTTACGAGAGCATAGTTGGAAGAGAAAAATTAATAAAAAGAGAGTAGAATAAAGCGACTGATAGTGATAAAGGCGGGAAAAACCTTGCGCGTATCTGGCGCCAAACGTAAACCGTTGCTTGATATCGTATGGAAAGTGTTGCTAACCATAGTGCATTTGTTCTATTGTAGCGATATTAGATGTATTTATTTGCTGATAATGACGTTTACAAGCTCTATTGAAAAATATTACTCGTTATCCGCCTACTTATATTGGACAGGCAAAATGAAAAGTAGTTGACATCATGGAAGCCGTTCGTGCCCTGATGTAAGAAGGTCGCGTATTTAATGGTTAAATCATAATTGTAAGAATTATGTATTGTCTGTCTTTATCGAGAACATTAATGATAACAAAGAGATGTGCTTAGAATTCCTTTACTTTATATAGTGAATGGATTGCGCGTATTCTTATATCCATCATGAGACGCCGGGCTTCCATAATACATAGATATCCTCACAGAGAGAATTTTAATATATTCATTTTAATATATTCATTCTAGGACTAATATAATTTTGTCAATTTATATATGTTTGTTGGTTTCCAAAGAACGGAAAGAAAAAGGAGAAGAATATGACCTATCCAGCTTGGGATGGATTACCCTTTATCATGATTTCATAGATGGTTTGCAGTACGATATTGGATTCATATTGAAATGCAAAGAAGGCATATTGAGAATCGTAGACACCGCATTGTTCCATTTTTTTATTGACTTTTTGAACACTGAACCTTGAATTACTAAGTTTAATGTTATGGTTTAAGGTTTTAAAGTCTAAGATAAAGCTCATAATTACAAAAGAGTAGGCCAGTGGTCAGAGATGCTCAATCAAGAACATATTTTTATATCATTCTACATGTGTCTTTCTTTTTTTTTTTAGTATTGTAAACATTTCATTTGCATATGAAAACAACACAAAACAAAAATAAAAGTTATTTTCTTTCGTACATGCACTACAGACCAAAGCCATATTGAATTCAAATTTCTTACACACAGTTTTCCTACTTCTCTCGCTCGCTCGCTCTCTGTCTATCTTTCTCTTTCTTCCCTTCTTAATACTAATATTTTTCTACGTGTTGTGTACTTTTTGTTATTATATTAATTAAAGGTACGAAGAGAAAAACAAACAAGAGCAGATGTAACTTTTCGTTTGGTCTCTGGCGAAGAAGGAGTACCAGAAATAATAAAATAACAAAAAAAAAAAAACCGGTCGAATGAAAGCGAAACCAAAAAAGGGTTCTTATTATTATAGAATATGTTTTCTTTCTCTTTCCAGTTGCTATCGTCTTCTATTATTATACATAATAGGGTGGAAAAACAATGAAGTCCATCCATCATACATCATTATACGTTTTATTAAATTGACGAACATAATAAAATTGAAAAGCAATAAAAGCAACAAAAATAATGTACCACTGTAGGTGATGGTTCAATACAAGAAATTTCGTCAAAGCAAAGAGGAAATTACAACAATTGAACATCTTAGATATCTTGAATTTGTTGTTCCTTTTATCCCTTTATTTTGTTGTTTCATCAAGTATATCGAAGTTAACCAATCTTAACCATGTTCAAAATTTTGCAAAATTGAACAAACTTAAGCATTGTTAACCATAAATAAAAAGTATTTTTGATAAATTGCCACATGAAGAACCGTTATTTTATTGAGTATTATAAGTAAAAAGTTCTACACATTGTACATATTTATAAGTCGAACTTTTGTACTATTTCATCATTATATGCTATTATTATATTATTCAAATGTTCTCTTATTTCGTTCTTCCATAAATTCTGTAATTCTGTTATTCTTTTATCCCTTTATCGCAGCTCACCGACAAAGAAGAGAGTTACTCAGCTGCTCACCGAATGCGGGATCGGGCGCTATATCCGTGAGCAAGTGAATTGCCATCATTCCTTAAGAGACCTAACCGAAGAGGTTTGCGAGAAAGTGAACGGCGAACAAGTACCAAAGGACCAATGAAGCAACTTACTCCTCAGCTCAACATACCTGAAGCCGGCGTTCCCAACACCAGAGGTCAACCAGGCATTCGACAAAGCCTATGATGTATTTCAGGTCAACATATGGTGGAGCAGGGAATAGTCAAGCGGGTGAAAGCAACTGTAGTGGCACGCTTTGCCTTCTTCAGAGATAACGGATCTTGCACCATCGGAAGTAGCCACCACATTAATTTGCTTGTGTATACTGTGTATACTGGAAATGCTCTTATCGGGTAAAATTAGGAGAGAGCCCGTTTCGTCATTCTAAGGTAAATATATTATTCCATATTTCAATATCTAATCTTTACTAACTTTCTTCTATTGTGGATTACGAAACAGTGCGCCCCCCACCATGTTTTAAAGGAAAATCATTCAAAGAACGAAGCAATGTAAAGGTAGTTATAATATTGTTACAAACATCCCAAATCCAATTAATTCCAGCTAAGTAATTTTTCCTAGTAATAAATTCTCTAAAGAAGAAAAAACCAAATGCACATTCGCGAGGCGTCATGCAGCTGCAGGCCGATGAAAGCGATTAGCGGAAAAGCACACAGGTAAAGACCAAGTGCACATTCGTAGGCGCGTCATGCAGCTGCGGGTTAATGAAAACGATTAGCGGGAAAATCGGTCAGGGATTAAATGTAAAAACTATGAATTTGGGTAACATGCTTGTAAAAATGTATGTAATTAGAATATTTGTGGAAGGCAGAGTTAGTCGGGCAAGAACATAGAAGTTGAGAGAAGCACGGCCAATATAAATTGTGAATACTCCTACTTATAAGGAATATAATTATAAATAAAAAAACATTGGAGTGTATATCTCTTGAACAAAATATCCCTGATCCAGTGATACGGTCTGTATCTTATAAACGCGAATTTCATAACAATATTATAAAAATGTTTTTATCTATTACTTATTTATTTCTTCTATTTTAGGGTACAAAATTTTTTATACCTAGGATGACTAGTTCTTCATCTTTCTAAGAACGAAATGATGTGCGGGCAGTTTTTTGACATACTCCCATGTTGCTCTTAATGTTTAAAGCTCTACTGCTGTCTAATGGACAAACGTTTCATTAATTTTTAGATTATATGTGGTAGTCAGGTTTACTTAAATTTCATTCTTAATCCGTTTAATCCGGAAAATAAAGCACAGACGTTGTGCAGGGGGTTAACGTAGGTTTCTGCTGTGGGGGCTTAACCCTACGGTGCCCGATGGCACAAGGAGCGAGAAAGCGTCAGTCACGCTTCACAGGGAGCAGGTAGGCTCCCCTGCAGTTCCAGATCAAGGGCATGTTAATGGCATGTCCTTCCCTCTTGCGGAGGCGAGACCTATCTAACACCTGAAATATTTAATGTTCCTGCGATTTTGGGTCAACGCAGCCATCACGGGCCTTCCCCAGCGGTCAGGTAGAAGACCCACTATGCAGATTCTGCTGCAGCAAAAACTGCAGCCGGCTATTCCACGAGAAGGGGATCCTCTAGGCAACCTGATCCCCTCGCTACCTTAATTATTTTAAAAGTGGAAAAAGTTGATTCGTGGATCTGCTATGCGGACGCAACTTTTTTTATCTGCATGATGACTATCCTCGGTATAAACGATTGAAAGTCAAAGCGGCAGATGATTAAAATTTATATTCATAGTTTATAAGGGCACATGATATAAAAGGTAGCCAAACGGCGTGTCCATAAAGCTTGTAAATTATTTACTCATCTAAGTGCGTATCAGTTTATATTATGGCGTTACAAAGTCGTGTTAAAAGTTTCTTCTATAATTTCAAAATTGTCCGCTTGCAACAAATTTGAGAATGAAAAAAGCCCAACAGTTTACATTGCTTGAGCTCCCATAATTAATTATTTAACTTATGATATGAATACATTGACAGTACGTCCTGTGCGTGCGAACATATTTATTGGATGCTTTTGTTTATATACAACTTTTTGTTGTATACGATGTCACAATAAAATGTCTGACATAATATTCATTAACATCGTTACGAAAGTTTAGTTGTTCGTTGCTTATTATTTCTAGTGAATTTCATATTCCGTTCGCAATCAAAAGCCCTATAGGTATCTTTTTGTGCGTGTTTTGCTGCGTCAAATCTTGCTAATGTGATAAATATTTTTAATTAACTGACGTTTGCTTAAATGAAAATGTGCTTCTGATTGTATGATTGACTGACTGAGTAAATGGTTGGCTGGCTGGCTGGCTGACGCAGTTAACTGATAGAGAATACAAAATATTGAAAAGTATTATTATACGATTGTCATACAGGAATGAATTCAGACAGTTTTGCAACAAACATTGCATCCTCGTCATAAATTTCCTATCTTTTAAAAGAAATAAAAACAAGTAAAAAAATTATATTCGGTCGCGCCTGACTTTTTCATACTCCTTATCGTTATCCCGAAAGAGACAAAAAAAAGTAAAAGTAAATTTTCATGCTCTGTAATATGGAATTGGCGGGACTGGTTTTCTCTATTTTCAAAATAAAAGTTTTTGTCGCAAAGACGTTTGGGTGTTGTAGGAGTGTCGTTTTGAAAAGTTTAGGTCCCTGGCAAATGTCTTTTTTTTTGTAAACGATGGCTTCCTTTCGGAAGAATTTTTATTGCAGAAACCACACAGATGGACAGGCGGACAGACGAACATTCTAAGGTGCGTTCCAAATTTGACGCCAGCCAAGAATTTATATACTTAATGAAGTTTGTGTTAAAAAATATATTAAATTTTGATACACTATACTATTAAATAGGCGTGGTCAATTTTTCTTTTTCTGTACAGCTGCTACAATAT